TTGGCTGATTTGCATGTGACAATCACTCAACATTCGTGTAACCATTGTCCATATTTGGGACGTTCTCCCCTGTTGATCTTTGATAATTAATGAATGCCATATGCTCATTTTTTTCAACCCCAATTCCATTCTCATAACAAAGGCCAAGACGGTTCATTCCACTAGCATTCATCATGTCCGCGGATTTTTGATAATAAATGAATGCCATATTTTCATCCTTTTCAACGCCAATTCCATTTTCATAACAATTTCCAAGATTGTTCATTCCACTAATATGGCCTGCATCAGCAGATTTTTGATAATAAATGAATGTCCTATGTTCGTCTTTTTCAACTCCAATACCATTCGCATAACAATGCCCAAGGTAGTCCATTCCAACTGCATTCTCCATTTCTGCAGATCTCTGATAATAAATAAATGCCTTACGTTCATCCTTTTCAACTCCAATTCCTTCCTCATAGCAATTACCGACATAAAATATTCCTAATGCATGTCCCATTTCAACTGATTTTTTATAATAAATAAATGCTTTATGGTAATCTTTTTCACCGCCAATTCCATTTTGATAACAAATACCGAGACTGATAATTCCGTAAGAATCACCCATATCTGCTGACTTTTGATAGTAAAGGAATGCTTCACGATCATTTTTCTCAACTCCAGTTCCATCTTCATAGCACATGCCGAGATAACAAATTCCAATAGAATTTTCCATCTCAGCTGATTTTTTATAATGCAGAAGTTCCTGATGTTCATCCTTTTTAATCCATTTTCCATAACGATAACAAAATGCAAGAATATTTTGAATTATAGGGTTGTTCTGAATAATAGAATTTGTTTGATTATTTAGAAATAAGTTAATGATTTCTTCTGGCTTTTGCTGTTTATTTATCATACACTGTTCTATTGAGCTAAGAATCGATGAAGATAAATTTCCTTTCATAACTTCTTTATTATATAGATCACATAATTCTTTGGTAGTTCTTGTTAGAAAATCCTGTGAATTATTGTTTAGGTTTTTATAAGAGATAACGGTTAAGGAAACAAGTACGGAATATATGGCAAGTTGTGATTTTAATAATATCGATATTATGTAAATAGATTCCATACTCACCGTATCGGAAATTTGCGTATCCTCAAGTCCTTGCATTGGGTTTACCGAATAAATACTCTGGCTTATTGCCCTTAAATTATTTATTGCTATGGTTGAACTTAGCCTTCTGATGTTCTGGAATATAAAAGATACACCATTGGATCGAGTATTTCAATATCAAATATGAGTATTTATAACAGTCAAAATTGTTGTACAAAGACTATTAAGGTTTGTGGAATACAAAAAAAAGCTTTTTTTTGTGATTATATTTGATAACTAAACTTATGATAGATAAGATATACGAACTACAAGAAAAATATTAACTATTTGCACGCTTTATTTTCATGTTTATGTTGCGAGCATCAAATTCATGCCACTCTGTTCTTTTAGGGTAATGGTGTAATTTGTGAAATAGAGAAACGGACAACTGGCACGTACGTACGCACGTATTAGGTTTTATATATGTTTTTTTTTTTTTTTTTCTATTAACAAAATTAAGGTTTAATTAATGCTAGTGATGTCAGTGTTAGCGTTTGCACGGAAAAACAATATTATAGTATTGCCTGGATCAATTTTTAATGGTTTGTTTAGATCTGAAAGCGACAAATCATTTTTTCCTAAATATAGATTATTCCACAAACTCATGATCCTAGACTACAATTTATGTATGTAAATGTGAAATGTAAGCCCACTAAATGTTTGACGATTTCGGTGAAACTGGTGGAACTAAATAGCAGCAAGATTTTAGCAGTTGGGCTAGAGAAACTCGGCTGAAGTGTCACGGAATTATAATTTTGGTAGATCATTTACTATTGTTACTTCGATTCGGGAGAACACTCAAACAGTTGGGTTAGCTCCGTTAGGTAACTATTTATAGATCTTGTTCATGTAAGACGTTTCTGAGTAGTAATGGGTCACAGGAGTATTACCAGGGTTTCATTATTCACAAACAATAAGAGCTTATTATTACGGTGTAATTCAATATGGGATCCCAATGATTTTGTGTAGCTTATTCTTTTTTTTTCTTTTTTTACATATGATTTTAATAGAAATCAAGTTTCTAATTGGTCAATACAAAAAATCGAATATTTCGCCGAATCAATTTTCAGGGGTCAGTAGAAACCAAGCAAAATTTTTTAAAACTTTAAATTAAAATATCTCGACAGCTATTACTGTAAACCAAACTTGATAAATTTTTTTTATTTATTTTAATTCTATAACTATATAAAATTAAAATAAAAAAATTTTTATCAAGTTTTGTTTAATAGTTGTTGAGATATTTTAATTTAAAGTTTTAAAAAATTTACTTAGAAACAATTTGCTTGGTTTCTACTGACCCACCCATATATTCGACATCTAGGTTAAGTGTTCCTTCATACGTCTGATTTATACTCATGATGTTTCATGGGTAGTAGCCAAACAACAATTTGATATCGATTCAAAGTAACTCATCTTATATCTGGTTAGTAAAATTCACTTGATTAACTCTTTTTACGGTCAAAGATTAATGAAGTTTTTTCCAGAGGATTGAAACGGCTAAACTAGAATTTATAATAAAACTAGCAATGTAACGTTATTCCAATTTTTACTAATAAATTTTAATAAAGCAAAATTAACTTATGGAGTCAGACCATAATTTTGCCTGAATTTATAATAAAAATTTGCCTTAGACGAGACCATATTATGCTAAATATCACCTGTCAAAATCAGTGATGTAAATTGGACACGCGCAGTAGGCGCAGCGCACATAAACTTAAATTTGCGCATATTTTGTTGAAAATAATTGGCGCTCTGCGCGTATTATAATTTTACTTTATATAGAGTCCTATTTTAGTGATCCAATATGTGGCATATATCAGTGAGCGTAATTAATCTAAAATCAAGTCGCGAATTTAGAAACACAGCTTGCCGAATTAATGCAGGTTGAAGATTTACGGAATAAATTTATACTTAATCATTTTAAGTTTACTATCTACCAGTACGTTTCATATCAGCCAAATTTAAATTGAATAATGTTCTCCGTTCTGAAGTTGCCGCATTACGGAGACATAACAATTATCATCAAGAATTTTCATAAAGAAAGCATTTAAAGTTCCAAAAGAAATTGGAAACAAGATCTATGATTACTGGGTGCACAACAAATACCATAACGAAAGAAAAAATGAAAGACTTACTCTGAATTTGAAGATAAATTTAAAAGAATTCAGAGTAAACATGATGACGAATATAAAGAACTCGAGTGTACACACGAAAACTATTCATCTTTTCAATAAGTTGAATATCATTAATGAATGGGTACTCCGCATCTTCAGATAACAACGGTCTTCACTTAATATTTGACGGTACAGATCTCCGTCCATTGTCCCATAAATTCGCACGATATTACCCCAATTAGGGTAGCTGCGCAGCGTGTGACGCGGCGCAGGACCAGTACGATCACTCGACACAGTTCAAAAAAGCATGTTCATGTAAAATAATATTTGTCCGTATCACTTATTATAACAAAGACTTTGGCTCATTTAGCACAAATAAAAATAAATTAATCAAAGACGAACCATTAGTTTGAGTGCTTCAATTATAACATGCTTTATTTATACTTGCTCGATCATGACTATTAACACGGGAGAAAACCTGACTTATTCTCCATCAATCACAAATTCAATATCAAACATGTTGGGTATCTAAACTATATAGATATTTTTGCCTAAACTGACTATTCACACTTTATGAAAATTTCTATCAGAAATAAACCAAAATTAATAATTTGTTTTATAAAAAAAAAAAACCTCCTAATTAAGATTCATCCTGTCGTTTCTTGTAACAATTCAATACCAGTTTCTAAAACTGTAATCCAATATCGTAAATTATTATTTTCATCTCGTAAACCATTAAATTCATTTAATTGAACCCTCATCGCATCTTGATGTGCATCATGAATTCTTTTAAAATCTTCTTTGTACTTCCTCTTTTTTTGTTCTAATTCGCTTCTAAGCTTCTCAATTTCAGCATTTAGACTAAAAAATTATTAATAAATTGAATTACAAAATATATATTAATAATAAATAACTATATACCTTTTATTCTTTTCTTTCTCAGCATTTAAAATATTATATATTTTATCAAACAAAGTCAGATTACTAGATTTCGCTGCTTCGACTATTTTAATTAATTCAGTAAAAAAAGTTATTTTATTCGAATAAGACACATTTTCTCCTTCTTGACGAATTTCCCCACAAATATATCTAATTCAATCATTGATCTTTCTTGTCAATACATGAGAATTGTAAAGTCTTGATCGTTTTTTTATGGCTGCAGGATTATTTTTTTTTTTCGTCTTCTTCACTTTCTGCACTTTAGTTTAAAAAAAACTACTCAGAATAATGTAATTGCTTAAATATTGGCAATTTTAAATAATCATTACAGTAGTTATATATCCCGAACGGATATTAGCAATTCGATAATCGAATCACCGTACATCTCATGACAGATGCTAGCAACCCAACTCATTAAAAAATCAGGTCGTCGAGATTACTACCTAAAATAAATCAAAAGTGTGAACAGAAAATTTACAATAAAAAAACAAAAAAAATTAAAATACTCTCCTAGTATCAATTACAGTATGCCACATCGTGTCCAGAATATTCATTATTCAAGAAAATTTGTTGAAAGATACAGCATTAATATTATTTTTTCATCATAAATAGAGATGTGACCCGGTCATAAATTTTATATGTAAAAACTAGTTTTTATATATAAAATTTATGACCGGGTCACATCTCTAATCATCATGCGTGAAATCCGGTTTTTATTCTTAAAATCGATAAAAATTATTATAATTGAACTTTAAATTAGAGTAATATATTTTAAAAACTGGATAATTCAATAATAATTTTATATGTAAAAACTGGACCCAGGTTATATCTCTAATTAAATCACCGGTTTAAAATAATCTGTGGATTATTTATATTATTTGTTCAATTTACTTTATGCTTTGCATTACTACATACAAGATATTCATAAATTTTCTTAAACCTAGAGATGTAAAAACCGATTGATATCTAGATTGTACGATTCTGATCATTAAAGTAACATTTAAGCATTAAGCATTATGGCATATAGAAAGAAAAAATTTATTTCTTAAAATATTTTTAATTTTTCTTAAACCATAAAAATATTGAAGATTAAGGTGAATTTAAGAA